GTCCTTATCCGAGAAGACTAGAATATCTCTCCATTTCTTGATTATAGAAAGGTAGCAATTTGTCTTTAAGATAGACAAATTTATCTCACCTCTTCATAATCACTGAGTGAAAAAAGCAGGCCACATTTTTCTCCATAAAGAACTGCCAAGTTAATGTCCAGCTCATTTTTGCCAGCTATCTTACTTGTCATTTCCATGGCTTCTCTAAAGGTATCTTTTGCTGAGCCAAATTTACAATTTGCAGTTCTAAGATGGAGCAGTCTGTAAAAGATGTTTACATAACATCCTCAATAATAAATAAATAATTTTTTTTGCTGAATGGTAAAGCACTACGAGAACCAAATAATAAACATACCTATTCATATAGAATGTCTACTGCAATCATAGATCATGTGACTTTGGGAACCAATCAATTTTGTCATGGCCTATATGCTCTCCAGGCTTGGCCCTCAAGGCAGTTTTGTTTCAATTTAGGGCTTGTTATACTAAATACAGTTTGTGGAAGTTAAAATCAAGTATTCTTGCACATTACTAACTGACTTAATTATACCAAACATTTTCTTTCTTCCATTGATTAATCTGCCTATACATACTGTATTTTCCTGCTTATTTTCGCTATTTGTATTATTTTTTAACTTGGAACTAGTTTCTGTTTGTGTGTTTCTGTGTTTGTTAATGTGTTACTTTAAGAAGTCATAAGTACCTGACACTGTTAGTCATTACAGTATTTAAAATCGTAAGAATGGCTGCTCCATTCTATTAGCCTGGTTGTTATTTTGGGCAGCCATGCACTTTATTTTATTTATTTTATTACTTTTTTTGTAATGTAAATTTAATTTAATTCAGGGGTGCAAATAAAGTTGTTGTTGTTGTTGTTGTTATGTATGTTGTCATTTGAAGTACACTTGTACCCAAGCCATGACAGGATAATGCAACATGTAGAATTTATGAACCTATAGTAGATATTCAGTACCACATGTACCTTGTGAGAAATTTGCAAGCTATTCTACATTCATTTGGTTCTCTGGTGTTACACAGCTTGTGACTAACAGCCAATACCTTCTCTGCATCGTCATACCATCCAGCCTCTGATAGGAAACCACCTGAAATGTCAACAAAACTGGTTAAATTTTTACTCTCACAACCCTATGGCTCAATCTCCTGATTGTCTACTATACAATTCTCATGATGTTAGTTTGGAGAAATTGGAATTCAATCAACTAATAACCCCTAATGGGTACTTTCTTTATTCTTATCACTTGTCAGCTTGATATTGAATTAATACTGTTAGGAAAATTTTCTCCTGGTCACTTTTGGGATCGAAAGGGTTAACAACTGAAATATTAGAAGGACATCTGTTCCTGAAATTAATGAAAAGAACCTTATAAATAGCCATACCATCAACTCAGAACATACTTGACATGGAGCTTAAAAATTTTAATGGATGCAGTACACTTCAGAAGCTACTCATACCAAGTGACATCCCTGTTTTTAACAGTTTTTGAATGAGATGTTGATCTGATATTTCTTCTGCATTTAATGCCTTTTGACACCTCCTGATAAACTCTGCTGAAAGGACTTTTGATAAGTCAAATCCTTCTTCTTTCAAACCTTGGAATACTGCATAAAGCTTGACCCTGCAAAAAAACAGACAATAAACCAGGTGTGATAATGTATGAATTGTGGAGTTTAACCCTCTAATACCCCAGAGGTCTGATCAGTAATTCTCTTGCCCAACTGCCAAATTAAACAAAGTCAAATGGTATTACATAGAGAAACTACCTACTAGGTGATAAGATTGTCTCCTTTTATCACCTTTTCTGCTGAACAAAAGACCACAGAACCAACACAGAGAAAGAACCGTATATAAATTAATGACACAATTCAATCTAAAATGCAAAGAAACTATGTTGGCATTCAGCCTTACAAGTATTCAAAACAAACAGAAAACTACCTGTTAGTAATAACCTGGGAATCTTCTTGACTGCCTTAATAACTGATATACATTGTGGTAAATAACTGGTTAGCCATTGCAATAACTGGTTAGCTTGGTTGAAACTGAACTGAACAATTAAAAAACTAGAAGATGCATCTTTAATTAAACATTTCTTGCCACAAATATTACAATAATTATTGTGATATTTGTAATGTCGTAAGTCAATCATGTTGGATCACGTGATGTCAGAGAGTATGATTAAAAAGTAAGCTTTTTAGTACAAGCAGGGCGTTGTGGTTCATCTTTACTTTAGCTCTGTTCGAGGCTGATACTCTCGATACTACAATATTTAAACAGAGCTTGAGTGTAACATTTAACTCAACGCAAAGTAAAACAAGTTTCAAGTTTATTAGGTCTCCCAAAACAATTACTTACAATAAACACTGCCTGCAAATAGTGAGCTAATCTAGGCCGGCGATGTTAAGGACAAACAAACACGAATTACTAATTGAAGGCGTTAAAAAAGTTGATTTTGAAAACGTTATTCGTCAAAAGAGGAAAAAAAAAGAGATAAAAAGTGAAGAGAAATATTATAGTTTATGAGTGAATTGTAATTAAGATGCCTTAGTTTTTTATTTCAGAAATAAGAGTGCTTATAAACAGAGCCAAAGCAATCCAGGATCACTCACAATTCTCAATTACACTTGCCCATTACCCAGTCAATACATATTCCACAACTGATTGTGATGTGTGTGCATATTAATAACAGTAATTTCTGGCCAATTACCCACAGGTAATCTGTTAATCTATCAGTAAACAACTGTTGCTAAATTGTAAACAGCAAAATGGCCAAATAGTTAGGAGTTAAAAAAGAGAACTTCCTTGGCTACCACAAAGTAACCAAGTTATTGGCACAATTTGCAAAGAATAACTTTTATAATTTTGTAAATTTATTGTGACTATTTCCTTAGCCTTAAGGGGCATCTGGGGCAATTGCTATCTTGTCCTGTAGTCTGTTCATGGCAAGTAGTCTTGGTTTGCTGCTATTTTGTTTTAAATCTGTAAATTGAGCCAAGATGAATCTGTCTTACGTGTGTAGATTTTCTCTATCAAAGAGAAACAGTTTTTTATGTTTTTCATGTTTCTTTTTTTCACTGAAGTTCAAGTTTTAACTAATTCAGTTGAGAATTTCCTGTACAAAGGAAATAACTCAAATTTTGGAAAATCTCTCTCTTTGCATCAGCGAAAGATAAATTTATCATAATATTTCTGAAAGGATCGTATACTTGCATATTAAATTTAGTAGAGGGGAAATCGAAATAAACTAACAAAGCGTTTCTGTTTTTTTCTTTCCTTTATGGTGATTCCGCCTGGCGGAAAATAGATCGATTCACATTGTAAAATTTTAAAATATAAACCGTTTCAATAATAGCTTCCTCTTAAAAGTCATTGTCTAAGTAAATCATTCATTTAATTTTCGTGAAGAACTCCAGGTAACAAACCGTTCAAGTATCTGACGTGACACAAATGGCACGAAATTAAATTTCAACCGATGTTTTATATTGACTGTAAAACGCGGAAAGGTACTTTTATATTTACCTCGTGTCTCCAGCTTTTAAAGCCTTTGAAACGACATCCAACTCACTTAGTTCGGATACCAAAACCTCCATCTTCCTTGTGTCGAAGAGCTGAATTACAACAAAACCGCAAGGAGTTACAAGCTAAACAAATTTTAAATCGTAAACATTAACTGTACCGGCAACTTTAAACACGAAAAAGGTTAAAACGAAAGGATTAAAATACATACCGTTCGATATATATCACACTGAACGGCATTTGGTAATGAGCGATACTCCAACTTGAATAAATCACAATTCCTAACTGTTGTAGAAGTTGCTAAATCATACAAACTTCGTACCCTACTGCCTGCCGCCATGTTTACATCCTTTCCGCCTATTACCATGCATCCCGTGAGAACTTGCAGCACTTACCGGAAACAAAATAAGGACCGAAATTTTCCGGTCTAAAGACTGGCGCCAAAATTAAAATTACCCGCCATCTTGAATACAACAAGAAATTGATACTTGGGTTTTGTCAGTTTTGTTGGAAGGTTTCTTGGCAGAATGGTGAATTTAAGCTTCATTTTGAATTTAAATTAACTTAAAATTTTCCCTTTGTGTTATTTTATCTCGGAGTATTGCCTGAAGACATATGTACACAATCTTAGGGAAAAAGGCTGCGCACGCCTGAAAATTAATACACAGCGCTTTATGAACACCTTCGTAAATAGGTTGATATTTAAGCTCCATTTATTGTAATGATATACTTTTTAAATCATAATGTGTATGTAGATCTTTATTGTAGTTTTTCCGGATTCATTGTAACATAAGATATGTAGTTTTATCTTACGATGGAATAAAGACTCTATTATTATTATTATTGCCTAATTTTTATCCTTTTCAGTCAAAAAAGCGTGGGTTGAGTTTGGAAGAGAAGAGGACGCGAATGCTGGAGCTTTTCTTTGAAAGGGTAAGCTGCAGTATTTCTTAAGTACATAAGTTGAGAGCTACCGATAACTACGATGTTTACCTTGCCTCATAACAGTATACTGTGGTGGATGCATCACAGCTTTAGACCTCAGGGCTACAAAAGAAGACGTCTGCTTAAACAAATTACTGCCAAAAATATCAACGCCACTCAATTACTCCTTCAAGTGTCTGAGATTTTCTCTTCTTTTTTTGTCACATCAACAGAAGGAATTCTTTCTACTAAAGGAGTTAGAAAAAATCGCTCCAAAAGAAAAAGGCATTAGTAAGTGAAAATATCGTACATATATTTGTGTTAAACCAATTTTTGCATCTGTGGATTTGAGTTGACTTTTTGTTGTTGTTTGTAAGCCTCCATGTCTGTCAAGGAAGTTGTACAAAGCCTGGTCGATGACAATCTGGTGGATACTGATAAAATTGGTACCTCCATATATTTTTGGGCATATCCAAGCAAAGCCAAGCATACAGTAAGTAGACTGACAGGTTTCGCACTAGATATATTGTGAAGTTTACATTGCCAGAGAGCCCCTTGATTAAACTACTGAAAAGGAGACATGGGTTTACCCCTCTATTCCTCTTCACAGTAATCTTTATCACCACTTCTTAGCTCTTGCCTTTTTCTCTCTTTGCTTCAACAGTTAATCAGGAAATACTTGTCTTGCTATTTCAGTTACTAGCCTTTTGACATTCCAGCTCCCTTTCTGATGTTGTCCCCAAATCCCCCCCCCCCCCCCCCCAGGCACTAAAACCTATGTACCCCAACTATGCCATGTAGACCTACACCAGAACTCTCTCTTTTTTAACCCAGAGACAACAAAAACTGACACAACTCACACAGCAAATCGATGAGTGTGAGAAGAAAATTGCCTCTACAACAAAACTTTTAAGGCAAGCAAACAGTGGCAGAGAGCAGTCTGTGAGTATCAACAAACTTTTCTGTTATGAAAACCCCTTCAGACAGCTCCTTTAGAGATTAATACAAAGCAGGATGCTTTCAGTAATTTTCAAAGAAGCTACTGATTCTTTTGTCAAGGGGTCTCTAGACAGTTAGGACCCAATCAATTCTCAAACTGGTTAAAACTCTTAATAGATTCCAACCTAAAAATATTTTATTTATTATCTAATGGGTTGTAAGTTGCATTTTTATGACTTAATTTGCACTATCCTGTAAATTGATGTGCTTCTTGTTAGTATTAAGCAATTGACCACTTCTGCCATGTTCTAATTTTACAACAATCTCAGATTTTTAGCTAAGTAAAATTTCAATTCAGCCAATTGAAATAAAAAAAATGGAAAAAATACAGTGAATTTTAAACACACTTTTGTTAGGATTATTTTTTACAGTTCTCCTTTGAAAAATAGAATGAAAGAAATTCAATTCTTGAGGAGCTGACACAAAAAGAGAAACTTTGTAAAGAACTGGAGCAAGAGCTTGAGAGATATCGCGAATGTGACCCAGAAGTGCTGGAAAACTTACAAAAGGAAACACTGATGTCAAAGGAAGGTGCCAATCGCTGGACTGACAATGTTTTTACAATCAAGTCCTGGTGTGAGCGCAAGTTTGGGCTGGAAAAGAAAATGATGGACAAAAGCTTTGGAATTCCAGAAGACTTTGATTATGTGGAATAGACAACAAGAAATCCATGTCTGTACTTCATGTTAGTTTACTGACCATTTACTTATTTAATGGATCATTTAAGTTTTTGCCTTTGATTATTCTCAGAGCTGAAAATGGCAGTTGGCCAGTCAAACCACTGACATTTCATGGTATTTGCAAACTGTAATTCTTTTCTGATGCTGTAATTTCTTTTTTGCAGTTTTTCATTTTTCTGTATTATTAGTTAGTTTATACCAGCTTCCAGTCAGGTCACCCAGCCAAATACCCAATAGACCCTCTTTTCAAGGTGGTATTAACAGGGCTTTTCATATAAAAAATGTAGAATTTACATTCATTGTGTGAGTCTGTAGCAATGTAGTATAAGTTGGACTTCGTGAGAAATAGTGGAATATTTATATCAATTTTGGACAACTATAAATGAGTTGAAGGGAATAAATAACCACATTTCAGTCTCCATTTAAATAATGAGCACCATCTTAAATGGCCAATCCCTTCTCACGGGGGAAGGAGAGGGTACTCTTTAGTCTCAGTTTGATTTGCTACAGCTTGAAAATGTCTTTATGGTGACAAGCTTGTTGAAAATGTTATGGGAATGTTGCACTTGGAAAAGCAAGCTTTGTGGATAGGAGGGAAACAAATTTCCTTGACACCCCTGCGTGGGGCATCTTCCATCTTCTTTAGTCCCTCTTACCAGTTTCCTTCAAAATCCAACAATTTTTTTTGTAGATTTTCCAAGTTGCTTCAGTCTATTATACTCTGTCAAATCCTCTGCCTGTACCATATTTTTTCTCTTTGGATGAAGTGTCAGTTTATGTAGAGTTTCTTCAAAATATTCAGGCAGAGGAGCTTTAATTATAATATTTCTTCCTTTGTAAAAGTTTGGTAAAGTTATTTGTCTTGCATGTAGATGAAGAGGAATCAGTGCTCTTTGCCACTGTCTTATTTTTCCTTTTGCAGTGGGGTTTTCCTTATTCTTTACACCTCGAATCTGAAGAAGTTGAAGTAAGCGCAGAGGTAGAACCTTTGGAAAGAAAAAAGGATAATTATTACTAAACAACAAGATTATCTGCTTGCATTGCTATTAAACGTTTATGCCATCTTTCCAAATTTAGTGGTATTGGATAAACCACAAGTTGACATTCTCTCTGAACTGGAATAGCATACCATCACAGGTTACCATAAAGTAAAGATAGTAGTAAGAGCAACCTTTAACAAGAAGTCATAATGCAGTAGATCTAAACCACTGTCTACTTGCATAGCTGTTGGGAACATAACAATAATGTTTGAGTTGTTGAAGTGTTCAGAATCCTCTCATACTCCCCCTACACTGGAATTCTCCAGTTTTCACTAATTGCAGGGAGGGAGGGAAATCAAGATTGGTTGCTAAAACTTTTCAAAGTTTCTTGTCTGGAAAGAAACTTGATCCAAGATGCTAAACAATGAAACTGCAGAGCCTTTAAACTGCTGAAAATCCCAACATATACACCTGAGTGCTGTGGCACATAACTGTTTATGTAAATTAATTTCTTCCCTCCACCCCTCACCTGTGGTTGTCGAATGTCAGAAGAGAACTTATGATCTCCCAATATTGGACATTTCAGTCCTTCTGCTGTGTGAACTCTAATTTGCTGTTTTAATCCTGTGATTGGTTCCAGTTGTAAAAGAGCACATGTGCTCTGATTTGCATCTAAAATTTTGAATCTAGTCTTTGCATGTTTAAAGCCAGCAGCTCTTAATATCTAAATGAAAAATACAGTATATAATTGAATAAATAAATTGTTTCATAATAAAATTGTAGAATGAAAACCTAAAATTCTTCACTACAGCAGTATTCTTAGCTAAAGAACTTGTCTTGAGACAAGAAAAGTTACAATTTTGGTGGATTAAGGTTCTCCCGTGTTGTATGGCTACTCCTGTTGATGCCAGTTTTTAGACGTAAGACAAAAGCATTTGTTTCCAGGACTGTCCCTAGAGAGTGGAACAAAACAAGCTGAGCTTTTTTAAGCAATATGAGTCAAACCACAGGAACAGTCTGTGTTGACTGATTTATTATTTGCCTTACTTCAGAAGACTTGCCAATCAGGTCTCGCTTGGTGGCAATGCGATATCCTCCAGCAAGTTTAGCTTCACCAATAGGAATGTTAATTTCTCCTTCTTCAAATGTTGGAACTCCAACAGTCACTGCCCAGTACTGTTTACCAATGGTTTTGTCTGAGAACATTTCTGTGACTTTAGCAGCGGCAGTTTTTGATCTGGAGGAGACATCATTTGTTAAAAAGATGTTGTGTAACTCTCAATTGGAATTTTCAGTATCATATTCAACATAGAATAAGAAATAAAAATAACAAAAATAAATGATTATGTATTTATTCTATGGAAAGCAAAATGTTCAAAATTGGTGTAATTTACATTTTTTTAACTTGTAAAAGATGTGTAAAAGATGTATCTCAGAACTATTTAGTTTTTCAATTTAAAAAAAAGACACCAACAATTCAACGAGCATAGTACAAGTACCTGGTAAGTAACAGAATTCCACTGCAATCCCTGCAATGAAATAATTTCAATTCTATCAGTTTACTTGATGATTATGCATTTTGCTGACACTTACCCCTTGCCCTGTTTATGTCACATTTTTCTTGAGTCTTTCCCATCCCATGTCATTTTCAAGGGAGTATTCCTTTGATCTCATTGCCTTAAGAATAGGTAAGTTCTTGTCAAAAGTAATTGGTGTTCATCTTGAAAGAAAGGCTTTAAGGTGAAAATGGCTTTACTGGTTAACAAAATGCTGTGTTAATTAGGACAATTAGATTCTTGAAGGAAATGAAATTGTCAGAGTTGGCCTTACAACTCATGAATAAATTGCATCTTTGTGATTGGTTGCTCTCAGTGGGAGCACTCTGGATAAGAACAAATGTAATGTCAGATTGGGCCTAGAGATAGCACAAAACAAGATAATTTGATTTTATCAACTGAGGTAATAATGTAAATTGGTCACCATAAAGAGATTCTTAAGTGCCAAATCAGATCAACTCAGTTGATAAAACCAAATTAGCTTATAATTCCCCCCACCAACACAGCACCACAGTTTCTTTAGAAACCTACTCCCTTTACAGTGTAGAACAGGTGATTTTAATACCCCTATTCATCTTCCACATGTAAAATGCATAATTTTCAGCAACTATTTAACACGAGTTATCTAACCCTGAAGAAAACTAAAGAGATACAATATCATCATAGTAAGCAAACTATATATAGTTACTTATCGAGTCGATGTGCAAGCTCTGGTCTTTCCTTCAACTTTTTTATTTCTGTAAATTCATCAAGCATATTCAACACACACATCTTCACACCAGGACCAGCTTCAAAACAATGAAGTTAAAGAAAAAAAAAAGAAAGAAGATTAATTAGTAAAGTAGCTAAAAAAGCCTAAGTGTTACTACTTCCCTTTATATGACCCTTTCCCATGGTCATAAGGAGGGGAGGGGACTGGGGGTGGGGTAAATGGACAGCTGACACTTTAGCCCTTTGTTAGAGCAAAGTCACTCTTGACTACTGAAGGGCTAATGCTCGAAACACCAGCTTTTTAACTCTCTATGCTGACCAATTTACAATTTTAACTACGTCAATACAACCAAACTCCCCAACTAACATAACTGCTGGGTTTAGGCAAGTCCACTGTGTAGTGATCAAAATGGCATCTAAGTCATCGTGTAAGACCTCTGCCAACAACTACGTGTACCATAAAGCTTTAACTGCAATTCCTGAGGGCTTGAAATCTTTAGGGATATCAGAGTAAAGCACTAAACACAGACAGGCTCTTCTCCATTTTTCAAAGAGTCACAATACATGGTCGTTTTTCCAACCAGACTAAGAAAAAATTATCACTAATTTACCAAATTGTGAAATAAGAGGTAGTGACGTCAAATGAATCAGGTTTCATCATCATCATCATTTTTTTTTTTATTTGTTTGAGCAGGTTGAAATTTTATGGCAGCTATATAGCTGATGTGGACCTGCTATTTTCCCACCCATCCCACTCCAGGGGAGGACATCCATCACACAGTGATCTCGTGCGTGGGAAATTAACATCTCCCACCCCTAACCCTACAGGAGACGGGACCTCCATTTATTCGTCCCTATCCGAGAAGACTAGAATATCTAACCATTTCTTGATGTTAACGTTTGAGAAAGGTAGCATATTCTTCTCAATCATTTTAAGACCTTGAGTGTTGGCCCGGCCGGGGCTTGAACCCTCGACCTCCCGCACAACAGTCCAGCGCTCTATCCATTGAGCTAACCGGGAGGCGGTTTAATGATGTTTATATCAAGTTTATATCAAATGCAAGCTTATGTGGCGATGATGACGCTTGTGCATGCTTGATGGAAAGGAACACCATTGCTTTCAGTGGTTTTTCTCTCGTTCTGTGTAAGAGAAACCAACTGCTTGCAAGGTAATGGAGAAGTTACATGTTAATCACTTCTGAGAATTTAAGTTAAGCATCATTAAGTTGTTATTTTCCACTTACAATGCACGGGCAGTCCACATGGTTTGTTGATTGCTATAATTTCACCTGTAGAAAAGGCAAGAAAGCAAACACAAGGCAGCTCGTAAACCGGTCAGTCCTACACACGTGTCTCTCCAACAACCTGTATAGCTTAGTATTACTAAGTACTTCTTAGAAAAAAAAATCAATTCCGAATGAAAATAAATAGATCGTCAACTGCTATTTTATCTCAAACTCACTGTTCATGAAAAGCACATTGTCTGCCAGGTATTGCGCATCAATTAGGGTTTTTCCTAGCGCTAATCTCGCAGTTTTTGCTGCTAGCGCCATCTTGAATCGCCCGCTAGTTACATGAACAGCGGATGTACACTAAAATGATCCTTTTACTCATGTATGGGGACATAATACAAGTGAAACCTCATACACAACGTACTAAATTTGTAGCCTTGATACCAAGCCTCCTACCGCGCTCACGTGTATTTTACAACAAGATGGCGAAAAGCATTCGTTCAAAAAGGAAAAGAAAACTTCGAGCTCAGAGAAGAGAACAGTTAAAGCCAAGAGTAAAAGCGCAGCTTGAAAAGACACTTGGATTGAGTGACAGGGAAATGCTCGTCGACATACAAAAAGACGAGGAGAGCAAAAGTGAAGTAGAAACACTTGTTAAGGAGGACTCCACGAATGACGCAGCTACAGGTGAGAATTATCTGATGCACTGAATGATTAATGCAAACCACAGCCACACTAGTTTAAATACCTGAGATGTACTTCTATTGGTACAGCCTACTGTACTGTATGTATGTATCTATTTATCTATCTATCTGTCTGTCTGTCTAATCTATCTATCTATCTATCCCCTGATGAGTGGGCAACCACAAAACAGGTCTGTAGGGATGTATATGTAGTTGTTTTTTTTTTGCCTACCACACATTTTTTTTGCCTACCACACATTATCTATATATCTATCTATATAATGTGTAGATATATATCTATCTATATATGTATATGTAAATTCTGTATACGAGGGAAACCCTGACCCTGTACACCCCAAATAATCATACTTAAATAGAATAAATGTTTGAAAAGAAAATTTGCCCTGAGCGGGATTTGAACCCACGCCCCCCTGTTACTAGTCAGGTGTGATGACCACTACACTATCAGGACAACCATGCTGGCAACATTTAATTGAAATTAGCCTTAATCCGTAATTGGATCCTCCTTTGTCATCGGCTTAGTTGACTTCGGTCGTGTATCTTTAATAGATCCTTAGTTGGGTTTCATATGGGGTTATAGGCTTCCCCTACCCTGTCACCTTGAAAATTGAGTTTCCTGGGAGACCATGTCTCCGATCACGTAAATCACATCTTCGATTGCCGCGTTGCCAGCATGGTTGTCCTGATAGTGTAGTGGTCATCACACCTGACTAGTAACAGGAGGGACGTGGGTTCAAATCCCGCTCAGGGCAAATTTTCTTTTCAAACATTTATTCTATTTATATAGATATATATATATAGATATATGTATGAATGTATCCTTAGTAATCTTGATATTATGCCTGAAGTAGCAACTTACAAACTCATCTTGTGTGTGTTTTCACATCAACAGAAGAGACTTCTGAGGATGTTGTGATGACAACAGAAGATGGACCTCAGAAAAAGCTTGGAAAGAAAGTGCTCAAGAGAATTAACAAGAAAACTAATTTGAAAAGGCTTGGCAACAAGAAAAGAAAAAATAAAAAGTTGTTGAAGTGGTGACCAGAAAAGGGCAGTTCAAAGTAAACTGTCTCAGCTAGAGCCCTCAACTAAAACCTTAGCAAATGAACAAGTATTTCTGATTATAATTTTATAGTGTAAATACAAGACCTACTTGTCATTTAAGTGATCAAAGTTATCTTTGTGTTGTATATTTCCTCAGAAATAAGCTAAACTATTATTTTAAATCTTGATTTTTATTGTGTTCCTGGCAAATGACGGATGACTTTACTGGGTGGCTTGATGGCTATGTTCTATGGCCAAGGGCTCGTGCAAATATGCAATACACTTGGTTGTACTGTTGGTATTAATAGCAAAATGAAAAGGTAACTAATAGGTTTATCTTGATTTTTATTTAATTTGTTTGTTGCTGATCTATTAAAGCAATATTGTCACCAAAGGATAATCCTTATTGCTGTATTGTAGTTGTACTGAGACCTTCAGTAATAAAACTTGATTATTTGATGGCCTGAGGCTGCAAGCTCTAATTCCTTTTTCTATTAAAGGAAAATACCTCACAACAAAAACTAACCATCTGATGAGTCTTGCTGTTAATAACACAGTTATGAGCCACTAAAGCTTCAAGACTTTATCTTTATGATTTTTCATCTAATGCCATATGTTGTTTAAAGAGTAGTGAGATCTTGATCACTCTCAGTGATTGTCTAGGACTGCTGAGTGTCTTGGTAGCAGTTCTTAATCATCTACTCTTTGCAGCTTTCTCATTTCAGTTCCTCAAGTGTATTTATCAGCATAAATCTGGAAAATATGATGTATAGCCTCCGAAACCACAGCAACTGACTTTTGTGAGCATACATGGCCTTCTGTTGACAGAAACATTTGTTACAAAATAAATAATGTGTAATACAAAACATGATTAAGAAAATTAGTGTACTTTAAAGTCACAAAAAGACCAAACCTGAGCTACAATCATATCGTGAGGACTAAGGAGAAACATCTGCCTAAAGGGGAAGCAATCAAACAAACCAAAATTCAATTTCCCAGCATCCTACATCCTTTGTTTACCTTTTGATCTTTAAGAGTGACTAGCATCTAATTTCTCCCAACAATATCACCCCTGAATCAAACAATTACATTAAGGGCACAGGAATAAGGGAAATGATAGCCAGCTGAAGAAGTGCATTGTAGAACAAATTCTCCTCATCAGCACTTAAGAAAATGTAAAGAGAACAGCATGGAGAACATGCATACTGGTGTTAGGGTGTAAAGGGTTCAAAACGCTAAAAATATTTTCTCTGAGAGCAGCAAAGAAAGAAACTAATACCCTATCACAAAGCTTTCAACAAGTGGCTGAACTAGGCAATAACACCTTACTGCAATAAGGGAGGTAATGTGGGCATAACACAGCACTTCAAAAGTACACATTGTTTTCCCTTTTGGTTTCTTACCTTGAAGAAACACTTAGTACAAGATCCAAGAGTGAGATGTATTTCCTCAAAATGTTAACACTTGTGAGCACATAATAACTGACATCTCCAGGGATACCTTCATTTCGAAGTCTTTTAATTGCATTGAAGATACCAATGTGGTTTGTATGACCAGATACTCCATAAGAGTCAAAGGTTATGACCTGCAGTGAAATACAAATGTAATCAAGAAAACAACCAAGAAAATGAGATCAAATATCTATAGATGTACTTATTTTAATGGCTTACTTCCAAGGAAGTAGTTGGCTGAAATGATGGGTTTGTTTGGATTTCCTCATTAGTAAATACATTAAAACACTTATCTCTAAAAGGCAATCAGTAAATAAGTTCTCATTACAATTTCAGTTGACCATCTAGTAACAGGTAAAGAAAATTTGACAAACTTATTAGGTGGAGGAGTGTTTGAGGATGAAAAACCAAATTCTCATAACTTTTTAACAAGGGAATGTATTGTAGCTGGGGATAATGATTCCGATTTTGGGGTTGAAAGAGTGCTAACATTTGGGTAAACAAAAAGTCTCACCACTTGTATCTGGTTGTGTTTGATACATTCAGTAATTAATTGCCCAGTGATCTGAGTGTCCCAGTCTGTTTTAGGATCATCAGGAAGGTCACTAAAAGGTTAATGATAAATTTATGTTAAAGGAGAGATTCATAGCTCACTTTTGTATGATTTACAATAAACTGCTTTTCAAAATTGGGAGGACCAGAAACTGCTTGTCACAGTACTTGCTATCTCTCACTTGAAAATTGAATGAAATTCACTCAAAAGTCTTTCATGGCTTACCCATGATTAATCACAGTGACACGCTCTGGCGGAATTCCTAAGATGGTACAGCTTGACAATAACTCCTCTCTTCGAATACTTCCTTGTTTGTAATAGTTACCTATTGTGTGCAAATACAATGTTCACAAAGAGTTCAAATACACACAGTATCTAGACTAATTCAGAATTGACAATAAGTATCCTGTGGGGAGGGGTGGTAATCAAAATGTCATTATGAGAGTATCTTAGGAAAGCCAATTATTTCCCAAAGGGAGGAGGGTGGGTAAAGTTATAAGCTAAGGAGGAAAGGTACATATTTGCTTTTGAATTCATTTACATTATAACTTCGATGTGTCATAATATCAGGTATAGTGGTCGGTCTGGACATACTTACCGGTCGAAAGGCATAATAGATGCACCGTGCTAGATCGCCGGAGATTTAAAATAGTGGGGGAGAAGAACATGCATTCATCATCTGGATGAGCAGTGACCAAAAGAACAGATTTCCCGTCAAATTCGGACCTTTTTTCTCTTTGGAAGTCAAGTTGTCGACGGTAAAAGAGAATAAGACTCGAAAAAACAACAACAAATACAGAGAAAAAGACAATCCAACCTTGAATCAGGGGTACCATCTGTGTGCCTGGTTACCAAATAAAAATCGCGTGGCTACTAAGTAACACTTTTCAGGACCTTTTGTTTTGGTGGAAAATGAGTGAGTCGTCTCGTGTTCTCGTCTGTTTATTGGGGTTATATAAAGGCTTATGAAGCCTTTTGTAGTATCATGGACAAGGTGGCTTCTTAAAGAGCAGAAGAAAATAGTATGGATAATCACGGAGAAGCTGATAACGAATGCCATCGCGAAAATGATGAGGTGATAAGCAGGACCCCCGCTAATATTTCCAATATCATTGATCAGAGTGTTAGTGTGACTGTCGAACGCTTGAACTACGAAACTAATATTGAAATCAAGAAAGAGAGGAATAATGAATTTCAATTGGATGAGAATGAATCTTTTGGCGACGGGGAAGCACAAGAAGACGATAGTCAAAGGGAAAACCATGGTCGTAAACACATCTCGACTCTAACATCAAGGCATTACGCGAGTCACGTCAGAGTATTCAAAGGTATCGCATTTAAGATATGTTTCCTGCGTCCATTACTTTACCCTTTACATTTTAAGCTGATTGATTATTTTAAGGATATGATAAGATTTCCGCAGAGCCTCACATTTCATTTTGTATATAATTCTTGGATTAATAAAACAATTATGGCATAAACAATCGCTTGCCTTTGGGACTACGTTTTAGAGTGCAGTTTGGGGCTGTGCGGAAATCTCACAGATGATACTGGTTTTTCGATGGAATATCCCTGCTCCCCCTCTAAAAAAAAGAGAATAATGTGCTAGTTTGCATGTTGTCACCGTTTGTCTTCATTGAGGGTAACAAATTTGCTTAGTACACAGATTCCTTATAGCCCAGTGGTAGGGCATCCAAAGTGGTCATTAAGAAATCATAAGTTTTCCTCTTGGGATAGCTCATACATGTGTCATTTGTTTCAGGTGTGTCTTGTTTAGTGATGCAGAAATATTATTAGCAGGGTTTACATGTATACATGTATTTACATGTATTACATGTATTTTTAGCAGTGTTTACATTTATAAGACTAAAAATTGCTGACAATAATGTCCACAAAGATCTCTATCAGCAATTCTTGTAGTAGGAGTGTTGTTTCTATGAAAGTTGACCCTTTCACTTCCAAGAGTTTCTAGAAAGGTATTTTTTCCTAGAGTATTGATACATTTTCAATTCTTAAGATGGTGAGAAGAAAGAAGATATCAACCATGAGATATAGTTTTCTTGAACTCAAAACTTTCCCATAGAAAAATTAAAAGAAAAGTGTGAAGACAATGGAGAGGATTAATATTAAGTTCTCTGGAATAAAAGGGTCAAATCAATGCCTTTTGTCTTTGGTCTCAGAGTGGTTAAAGTGCAAGGGAATGGAGGATGAATTTGAAGACTGGAAACCAAGAGAGATCAGCAACTGGTTGTCTGACTTTTACAAGGAATCACACCTAAAACATGGTGGTACGAAGAGAGCCAGCTCCTTGAGAATCATACGCTCAGCCATTGATCATCATCTTAAGAGTGAACCATACTGCAAGTCCTACAGCCTCACTCACTCTCCAGAATTCAGTAAAGCTAACGCTACATTGCATGACCTGGAAGCAGCCCAGAAAGAGTACCTTGATTCCTCAGAATGTAGTTCTACTGCATCAGCTTTAAATGTGGAAGAGATTCGTAAACTGTGGGCCACCGGAGTTGTGGGAATCAAGACTCCAAAGTCTTTACAGAGATTGGTGTTTCTGGCTGTGGGAATCAATTTTGGGATTACCTCTCGTGATGACTTGCGTGATTTAACACCTGACATGTTTGAGTTTCACATTGATGAGACCACTGGACTTGAATATGCTGCTTGCAAACTAAGTGAGTCATTATCCAATCAGTTGAGGAGTAAAAAGTATAAAGGCATTGGGAGGAAAATGTTTAGTGTACCTGGAAGTTTACAGTGCCCTGTTGCAGCATTGAAATTATTCCTTCAAAGACGAAACCCATCTTGCCCTGCATTTTTTCAAATACCAAACCGTGATTTTGCTACAAGTGGAGTTTGGTACAGGTCACAAGCAGCTGGACTAAACTGTCTGTCAGGAATGTTGAAGGATATGTCGCATGAGGCTCTCTTACCAGTTGATTACTCCAATCACAATTTACGAGCTACACCTCCCATAGTGCTCTACAAGGCCATGGAAGACTTACTACGACCTCCACGAATTGTGAATGGTGCAATTCTAAACAACAAGATTGCTTTAAATAGCTCAGGACCCCCTCCATTGTTGAACTCACACATTCCAGCCACAGCAGCAGTAAACATTGATGCAAGTCCTAGAGTTGGCCCTGGTGTGCAGTCAAATCATATTCAAGTTGCTCCAAGAGAAGCAAGCACTGTTGGCAATGTGAGCAATCCTTTAGACAATGTTCCTTATTCAAACCCTGCTCAGAACTTGCATCAAGTGTTCTGCATTCCTCAGCAATGGAATATTAGTGACATTATCAAAGTTGTAAATTCAGGTGAAGCACTTGTGATTGTGAAAGAACCAAGCAAGACAGAAGGTCAGTCACATGTTAATGGTGAAGTGACACAGATCAGAGACACACAGCAGCCACACGGCAGATCTGGGCGAAAGCAGGTATTTTGGTTTCATAATACTGAATTTTATTGTTTGGCTGTGAAAGAAGGTAGAGTTTAATTAATTATTTTTTTTTACTTTAATTAAAAGCCAGAGCCAAAAAGATTTTGCAGAGATCCTGATGTTTTGAAAGATGAGTCATCCAAGGTAAGATTGTGTTATTTAAATAATGAAATATTAGCTCACTAAGATATGAATTTTCTTATAACATGACTGAAAAAGGAGGAAAGTGTGGTAGTTTTCATATGTAGTTGATTTTTTGATAGTACCATTTAATGTATTGTTGAGACACAAATGATTGTTCAAAAATTGGACAACAGAGTGTATCTTTTATTGTTCTCAGAAAGTGAATGGCTTAAAAATCAATTAAAAACTAAGACACACAGAAGAAAATCATCCTAATGGAAATATCCTCATACAGAAGAATGGTGTCTGTTATGATCAGGGTTTTTACAGAAAGTTACATCCCTAGCCAAGATATTTAATTCAGTTGGAAATAAAGCTATTAGTTTGAGGTAGATGGCTTGAAGATCTTGGGGTTTCCAGTAGAGATATTCGATTGTCATGTTTATTTACTAGTTTTTTTTGTCAGGAGACAACAAAAAATGTTTTCCTTTATCGTAGGTTGAAGATGCCTGCATGAAGGCAGTAAACACTATGAAAACAGCACTTCAGAACTTGGATGATCTCATGTGTAAACAACACCCTTCTGGCAAAGTTATTGAAGAGTTGTCAGGTGTAAGTTACAGTATTCAAGAGCTTTTACAAAGGATTAACTCAGCAGAAAATTGTTAATTAACAGACTTAGCTTGGTTTTTAGAATCTGATCTTTAAGAAGTCTTTCACATTCAAAAACATTAACAGTCCTTGGTGCATTTAAAGGCTACTTTACTACTTGCATTTTGAATAGTCTGAAATGCTGCCATGGCATCCCCTTAGAGATAATAAGGCACAACAGAACCCATCACGGGATAATGGGGAAGGGGTCACCTAACCTTAGACAATATACTCTTCAAACAACAGGGAAAATAACGTTTATCAATAACAGAACTTAAAATCAAGAGTTGTCTACATTCATTTGGGAAAACACCCAAGAGTTAAAAACTAAGTAAGAGAGGAAGGAAAACTGTCAAGGATAGAGATTGACAATCACTTTTATGACGGTTTTAACCTTTGGTTCTTAGGACTAACTATTGAGTTATTTCTCCTTACTACAAACAAAAAATTCATTCAACAAATTCCACTAACTGATAAGAGGACGTTTAATATCTAGGCCATTTTATTAAAAATACTTGCAGCTTGTCAAGCAACAATGAGGCATTTATTTGATACCTTTTTCAAGGAAACAAACAAACACTGTGGTGGTGGTGTTCAATCTAAAAACTGGGTATTTTAAGAAAGAAATTTCACTAAACCTTCTCCCAGGTCATTCCTCTACAAGAGTGTAAATGCAGATTTATTTTAAAAACAAGGTAAGAGTAAAGGATGAGTTGTTTAGAACATATATTTAAAAGGTGTTTTTTAAGAATTACTATTTATAAAGTACTCTTAAGGTGTTTCTTTGTATCTTTGTAGATAAAGTAAATTTCCAATATCAGAGAACTTTGGCACTGGAACATGTTTGTTCCGATTTTTTGCTACATGTTTGGGATTTGACCATTTGGACTTCAAAGGGGAAAAATTCAAAACACTTAGATGATTGTAAATATTCTAATGAATAATTTAGAGCATGAGTTTTTTTTTTTTTTCTGGAGGTTTATGGCTTAATTAGAGAACAAAGATATTTATCACAGTTCAGTGGCAGGTTTTTTGACAGACATTATTTATTAAGGAGTGAATGAGTTCAAGCTTTGCAAAAGCTGCAACAAAAATCTTTGCTGATAATTTATTTGGATTACAAACATTATATTGTTTACAAAAGTTATATTTCCAAGTCATAGTTCATAACAAGGGAGCATTGCTGGAACAAAACCATGCTTTTTCTCACATTTGTTGTCTTTTTCTCTGATATTTACTTACAGGAAGTTGTTAAAAGGAGATAGTTTTATAGGTGCCTTTTTCAGGTTCTAATTATCTCAATTAGAGTTGTACTCATTGTGCATTTATTTAGACTATTTAGCTATTTATCAAATATAAAAACGTGCAAATTAATGAAGTGTTGGGCACTTTTTGATTTTGTTCCCTTGAAGAGGAATTGTTACTGTATAATTTTTTTCTTTGGTTGACTTATTGTAAGTCAAAGCGTAAAGATTCTCGCGGAAACCTTTAGCACTTGGCTGTAAATTTAATCCCAATAGTTTCAAAACGTCGCCTGTATTTCTTTCCGTGATCTAACACTTCTATGGCGTCACATAAGTATTAACGTTGACAGCAATTCTTGTTGGCAAAATTTTTCAGTAACTGATAGGAAAATTGACGTCCTTTCACGTTAGTTATTGTAAAAAAAAGGTTTTTACAGACTTTTCCTTAACCAGTGCATGCCAATAAAAGTTGCAACTCAGTGTTGTATGCGTGTATATACTAAATATAAACGCTCGACTAATTAACAACTATTCACCGAAGTCAAGAGGTGATTAGTGGTGGATATTTACCTCGCAAATATTCTAAGTGTGAACAACTATTCACACTGAGGTGAATAGTTGTTTTAGTATATACTAAAACAGTGAGATAATGTACAGCACCAAGAATTGATTTGAGTGATCTCTTCGCTTGACACGGATGCAAACCGGGACGCCATTTTTCCCCGAGTTGCTCTCAGGTAAATAGCAAAGGATATTCGGAGTTTGATTAGCCAATCAGAGCACGCCTTCAACGCTATCCACTGTTTTAGTATAAACTAATGCACGATATTGTTTGTCTCCCTCGCCGACCGGGGAACCATCTACCCTGAATACTTTTATGCACCCCCTCTCCTCCCCTCCAAACACACACGGAGCTGTGTTTTCGGAACCCTTGCTTTATAACGAGGTATCCATTTGAAAGGAGTTTCCAAGAATGAGTTGCATAAATTTCTCTCTACAAAATCTGTTGAGTCCGTCCGCTTTAATGAAAACTAGAAATTCACATGCACGATGTTTATGGGAAATTCTCAAACGGTCTAATGGGCCGATCGAATGACTTATCCCCAAGTGGTTAGAGTTTAGCGGACAAGGAAATACTCGCGAAATGACTTGGGTTCTAGCATTTCTGTAAGTCTTATCTCAACTCGAACGCCGGCACAGACCTTCCCCAGGCACAGTTCTATAGTTTGAAAGAGTTAATCGTGAATTGATTTGGAAAAAGTACTGCGTAGTTTACCGAATATGTTTTTATTAAAAATTACTGAGAGCAGCTCCTTTGGGTGCTCCGAAAAAAGGTTTTTTATACAATTCGCGTATTCTAATACAAACACAGCTATGAAAATCATGGAGAATGAAACAAACCATAGAAATTTTAACCATTTACGAGTAAATTTCATTCATTCTGAGCTATCGTCAAAGTAACTGCATCACATTGTCTTTCGTCTTTTAATATGTCCACGCTGTTGGTACGAAGTTGCCCTAAAACAGCCCTGTGAGCATTTGCTTAGCCACAGAAAGTTTTCTGACCCGCTGTACATTGTCTGTGCCACGTTTGCACAAGCTTCCTATCTGACCCAATTCGCTAGCCTCGAGAAAATCTGTTGTGGTATTTCGTAGCTGGTAAATGAGCTGCAAAAAGAAAGTTTTTATTCTTAAATAGATTACTAAATCTTTCTCAAAGCCGCTTTGGTGCCGCTGTATAACGTTTGATTACCGTGGGAGACGTTTACAGCATGCGCAATTGAACAAATGAACCTCTAGAGGTCGAAGAAAATGATTACCAGGGGCCCGTTTCTCGAAAGTCCCGGTAACTTAATGGGCCCGTAAAGCTGTTCTGTTTTCATTGAAGATGGGGATTTCAAAAGTTTTGAAAATGATACAATAAAACTACGAGCTAAAGAAACAAAAAGGACTGGTTTGGGAGCCAGACCCTGCTCTCCTATCCTTTAAATTTTGATTTTAAAACATGGCTTCGGGCCCGTTAAGTTACCGGAACTTTCGAGAAACGGGCCTCAAGACCGGTTACTCGAAGAATGGAGGATGGATAACGCTATCAACCGGAAAAGTATCTATGGACGGAAATCGTAGTACGATTTTTTAAATTCTTATCCGCTGGATTGTGATTTATCCGTTGGACAGCGTTATCTGCCTTTTGTACAGCCTGGCCTAGATGGGTGAGGTGAGTCCACTCTTCCAAAAATTTTACCGTCGACTATCAAGAAGCCATATCTTTAGCCCCCACTTCCCCCCTTCCCCCAACCAATTGTGACCATCTTTGAGTAAGGAAGGACCAGGCTACAAGGCGAAATTCAGCCGCGCTATTTAAGTTTGTTTCTTACCGCTAAGAACTCCTTAAAATCAATTGCACCGGATCCATCTTTATCAATTTCATTGAAATATTGTTGCCGTACAGCAGGTTCAGACTTGTCTCTCAGGTCATCAAGGACCTGCATTCTATTAAAAGATACCAATATGGAAATAATGTTTACTGTGGGTTTACTTGAAACGTGGTTTCTCTATTTTGTCTAACAAAGTGGTCAGAAGTATTTCCTTGGCCCTAAGGGTGAGGGGGAGGAGGTGGGGTTAAGTTTAACGAGGGAGTTTGGATGTCTCTTCTTAAAAAATTTGTGGTCAGTACTTTTGGTCTGGGACACTTGGGGTACTGCTCAAGGGGGGTGTATTCAGTAAAAGGGGTTTGAGAACTATATACTCACTCAAAATATTTTAAGGTAACTTCATATTACAACAAATTAGAGAGTCTGGATACTTACAATTCTTCAAAGTCAATTATTCCATCTTGATTCAAATCAAACGTCTGAAATTGTAATTGTAAGTCCGATATGTCGGATTCTTTAAATTCTGGAAATTCGTCTATCAATGATCTGAGATCTTTTTCACTCATTTCTGAAGACAAGTAGATGGAAAGAGTTTTGATGGAACAAAAGTGCTCGATGTTAATACTGATTTGATTCTCTTGCGGTCAAATTAATAAAAAAAAAAAAGAAAAAAAATTCGCCATACCTTCAAATTTTTTTCTGTTCATAGCTGACATTCTTCGTTCTTCGAGAAGTTTTTTCCAATACTGCTCTTGAATTGATTGAAACTCCGTATTTGTTAGTTCGTTTTCGTCGTGTGATTTTCTTGTTCCTGGAAAAGTCAATAAAAGTTCTAAATTCCATTTCTTTGGAGTTCACGCGCAAAGTTTGATTCTTTGTCCTCAATGTGGAGTCAGCTGGCGGAAATACACAGTGAAAGCGACCATGAACTAAGAATTACATGTAGAAAACGAAAGGCAATTACAAGTTAAAGGAAAAACTTTTTTTCCGTGGAATAAGTAAAACTTAAGCCTACAAATTACGATTCTTAATTCGCTGAAGCCATTACACTGATGCAATGTGTGAAGCAAACGAAGATTGACGATCGTTTTTAGAAGTACATAACAGACTTTACCGCCATTGTTTTTTGTTTCCCTTTTAACTTAGAACTAAAGTTGTTGACATTCACTTCTATTTGTACTCATCTCGATAAACCAATCTTTGATCCATAGAACTCACCCGTTGTATCAAAATAAGTGTTTGGCTCATAAATGATGGGGCTCCTTGTGATGGGATAACTCGGAGCACAACCCATGCTCATTTTAAGGCGATAACCAGAAAAAAGTTATACCTTCATCGGGTAAAGACATTTTCTTACAAACATCGCTCGACAAAAACAATCATCTGACGTCATAATTAGTCAGCTGTCAATCACGCGGCGCGCGAGAATCTTCTGAAAACTGCTTTTCACATATTTATCTATAAATACTTCCTCGTACATATTTACTTTTGTTTCAGACCTCCCATGAGAATCAGGAAAGTTATTTGAAAATTGGTGATGTAGCAAAACTGCGAGCCCAGGATATTACTCGCGGCCAACGTTACAAGCCATAGGTTTCAAACCCATTTCGAGTTTCCCTTTTAATCAACTCACGTATTATGATCAGATAAAAAGAAAATTAGGTTATATATTTCCTTTCAACGTTTCCAATAAACGACATTTAATTTATTTATACCAGAAGCATATTACAAATGTCCTTTCAGTTCATTTATTGCGTGGAATTGTATGGGACGGATAAGTGGAGCCTTTTTGCGCAACTTAGATAATAGTAGTCTCCCTCGTTGCGTGACATCTAAAAAAAAGGCTGCGAGGGAGACTAAGATAATAGAAGCTCTTATCCTTATATTTTAGCGTCTTTTTTTTTTTTTTTCACATATTTCATGCCTGAGCTGTTTGACCTCGATCACGAAACTAGAGCAAAGAGAGTTCTCAATACTTTGTTTCCTCAAAGGAGCAGATTTGAGAAGATGAACTGCCTACTAAAACAACAACTATCTTCGAGTTATCTCCTTTACAGTATCTCTCTTCACGTTGCAGCTTTTTATTTCTTTCTTGGCTGGCTGTCTGTTCTTGTTCGCTATTTCCTTCTGTTTGTCGTATCAATCCCAACCTTCTCGGTCTTTAATAAACTCGTCAATTTTGGAGAAATATTTAAGCTTGACCACCTCCTGCCTRGCTGTCTCTAGGTCTCCTAAAAAGAACAAGAGGCACCAGACGATATTGAAGGCGAACAAACATTTCTATTGGCACAAAAACAAAGTCATCTGTGAGAATTCGAACCTCAATTCTGTGTAAAAGAGGTAAGTTTTTAAATGAAACTGTGGCGCTGCATCGGTGGGAGTAACAAGGAAATTTAGGTTTTATCAAGTGAGTTGATAATGCAAATTATTA